CATATTTAGTAATTTGTTGGCGAGTAAGGTTTCAGTATCCAAAGTATCGTGGAAATTCAGTTCTTTATCTTTTTATTTATTTATTAATGTTTGGTTATGTAATTGTGGATATGTATTTGGTATTATTCATTATTGATGTTCATGTATAACTTTTGGATATGATTTAATCAAATGAATGATTTATATGTTTAACAAAAAATCAAAAAAAAAATTTGGGTGGAGATTTTTTTTTATCTTGACGCGGATCCATCTTATTATATAAAGCTTGATGCGTCAAACTTTGTAATTATCATGATCGAGACACGTGTTAAATCGGTTAACAAGATTTTGACACATGTATACAAGTGTAAACAATATTTTTTTTTAATTAGATTTAACCATATGTCAAAAGATTTATCTATTTATATTTATTTGTAAAATAGTGAAAGTAAACCTAATTGAAATATGATTAAAAAAATTCTAATTATTTGGAAATCTGTGATATAAATTTAATTGATGCGTCAAATTTCTTAATTAACATGATCGAGACACGATTAACAAGATTTTTACATTGGATTTTTTTTAATTAGATTTAACCATATGTCAAAAGATTTCTCTATTTAGATTTATTTGTAAAATAGTGAAAAATAAACCTAATTTAAATAGGATTAGAAATATCTAATTATTTGGAAATATATGAAATAATTTAGTTGAATAAAATAATATAAGAAATTAATATGAGAATAAAATAGATAAATGTTTGATAGACTTCTCTATAAGTAGTTTTGTAATGACATTCTCAATTTTATTTGATCACTTCATGAGAGTGACCTAATTTTGTCTTCTGTTTTTTCGTGGTTGATTTGTTTTATGGGATTATAAAATATTTAGAGAATAAAAATAGTTCAGTTAAAAATATCACGATAAATTTATCAACATTTTAACATTTTGATATCCGGTAAAAATGAAGCGAATCACAAATACTGCATTTTCAAGATATTCATTTTATGCGAATCCCTAGTAATCAAAGAGTGTAATAACTGGAAAGTCAAAGATGATGTCATTCTCATGTGTGATTGACTCTATTTTAGGAAGACCAAGTGGCACCGGTAATGTTATGGAGTAAGAGTGAATTTCTAAATGCTAGCATCATCTTGCTAAAATTGAATGTGAGAGTCGGGATCCAAAAAATTTAATTTGGTTAAGATTTGTTTAGGGAACTAAAACTTCTAAGATTGAACCACGAAGAACGCAAAGATCTGAAAATGGTTTTTGTTAAGCTATTTTGTAAAGCTTTTTGCAGAGAAAATAATAAGTGTTTATCGATCTAGGTAAAAATGCGGATCACTTTCTTTAAAGACGTACATGTGTATTTATACAAGTTTTAGTAGGTTAGAAAAAATTCTAAAACGAAGAGGAAAACTTCATTTTTTTTTGCGAATTTTCTTTCTTCTAAGTCGGCAGGTTTTTCTGCTTCGATTTTTTAAGCCCTTAGTCTTCATAGCTCGGTCCATCAGAATGCATTACAATTTGTCTTAGAACAGGGCCAAGGCCCAAAATACCTAGCCAAGCTGTCCAGCTTGTCGCCAATAGCTTGGGTTTGCCAAAGTCCACTGACGCGCTCTGGCTATTCGAGGCCCATCTTCTCAGCTCAGACTTGCTGATGAGCCCCTTTCTTCGCGAGTTGAGTTCCATCGAACCCAATTCTCTAGCTCGGATCCGATGAGCTATGTCTTCACTGGTCGGATTCCACCAAATTCAGTTCTCCAGCTCGGATCCGACGAGCACATGTCTACGGCTCGGGTCCACCGAGCCCGATGTTTGTGGTTCAAGCTGTCGAGCCCAACTTCATGGTTCGGCTAGGCCCATTTTCATATTTCGTCATTGTCTGGTTGATCTCAGTGTGGTGAAATTTTACCCCAACATCGAACTCGAGAATATCTTGAAGTGTCCCAATCACCATTAACTCCATGCATGGATTTCTTTTCGCCATCGACTAACGCTAGACACACCATAATCTTAGTGACTTTCACCACCATGATAAATTTTAAAACTAGACTATTTATTGAATATTAGTTGAAATTATGTAGTTTTTTTCTTTTGCATCAAATTGTTCGTGCTTTTTTTTGTTTGTTTTACATTTGGGTTCAAGATGACTCTAATCATCACTTAAAGAGTCTCATCAGACATGGACCTATTTTGACTGTGTTTTGGAATTGAGTTAGTTAATATTGATATATATATAACTGTTATGGATAGAGTGTGAATAGACCCACCATTTGTGTATTTTGAAATTTGTGTTTTTAAGATGCGGAGTGTACCACAATTATTTTTGAAAAAAAATGGATGTATCGGTTTTTGTGGATTAGATTATAAAGTTTTATATGTTTTGACTTTTGAGTTTTTCAATTATTTTTTTTGCGAATTTAGAATTAAAAATCATATATTTTGAGTTATCCGACAAGTTTTCTTTTGTGTGAATTTAGATTAAAAATTAATAAGTTTCGAGTTTTCCGACAACTGTTTACTCTAAAAGACTAACTAATATGTTAAATCATACTCCTATGTGATGTTTGGAAATTATGTCCGAGAATCCATTTTGATGTTTACAAAAAAAAAATTAATACCAAAACATCATTCCCAAACATATGTTTAGTTTTTCTCAATTTATGAATGAATGTGAAAAGCTCGTGTTGACTAAGTCAATGTCTAATATACTTTTGTTTTTTAGACCATAATTTATTTTGCGCTAATCAATATTTTCAACTACTTAAACTTCTAACCGAAAACGATCTTTAATTTTGAATCCGTACGCCTTGTACGATCACTTGAACTCGTAAGCTAAAACATTCTTTACTTTGGAATGGTCATTATGCCTTTTCCATGACTAGGCTATTACACTAATTAAATTACCTTTAATAGATTGTTGACTAAATAATTTTGCAACGAGTAAAGTGATTGCCAAATGGTTTAGTCAAATCTAGAATTTGTATATTAGGCAGTACATTACCTTCATGAAATTCTTATTGAATGTCTACATTGTTTCTTTTTCTTATATTTTTCTATAAATAAAAATTGTACGTGCATTGTTTTATACGACAAAAAACTAAAACACTTACTAGAAATCAAACACCTTGGTTCCTGAAAAACATGTCAATGAAGGAAACAAAGGGAAAACAAACAAAAGGGAAGCAAAAAATCGAGATGAAGAAGGTTGAAGCCTATGGAGACAGAATGATAACGTTCTCCAAACGTAAATTCGGAATTTACAAAAAGATGAACGAAATCGTTGCTTTGTGCGATGTCGAAGCGGTTTTCTTGGTTTTCTCTCAAGCCGGAAAACCTTATTCATTCGCAAATCCGTCTATGGAGGAAGTGGTTAGCCGGTTAATGAACCCTTCAAACCCTGAATCATCCGCAAAAGACGATAATAGCAATACTAGACCTCTAGTCGAAGCTTATAAGAAGAAACAGATCGAAAGCATAATGCAAAAATACATGGAGCTTCTTGAGGAGCTTGACATGGAGATTGAGAAAGCGAAATTGTGCAACGAATCGAGAAACGAAAAGGAGATAGACAAAATGTGGTGGAACTTTACTTCAAAAGACTTGAGCGTGGAGAAGCTGGAGCAAAGGCACCAACCGTTTTTTGAGCTACGTGATCGCTTATGCGATATGAGGCTCTCACGGTTGGGAAAAGACGGTGATGGTTCATCCTCTGGTTCGGAAGGACGTCATTGTGGTGGTGGAGAAGCATGAATAAATTTGATGTTTAATTTGAATGGCTTATTTACTG